TGGTGCTTAGTTGCTGGTTGGGGTTAAACCAGAACAGTCCTTTTTGGTGCCTGAACAGAGATAATAACAGATTGACCAGAGCGTATCAGAAGGGATTTATATCTGTTAACATTTGTGGGTCACAATATTGATTCATCTGTTCTTGATACTAGTTTATCTGACCTACACCATGCCCTTTGTTTTGCTGTGCATGATAAAGGTTGGTGTTGGCTTTTGCAGTTTGCTGCACTCAGTAGTGATTAGTGATGTTTTACGTGGGAGATTTATTAAGACACTGACCTTGAGCTTAATCTGGTATTTGGGCTCTGTACTGAAGCCGTTACTGTACTTCAGGTATCATCTCATGGAGTCAATTAACAATTATACTTCTTCCCAGGTTCCAGTATAGGCTGGGGACAGACCTGTTGGAGAGCAGTGAAGGGGAAAGGGATCTGGGGGTCCTGGTGGACAGCAGGATGACCATGAGCCAGCACTGTGCCCTCGTGGCCAGGAAGGCCAATGGCATCCTGGGGTGCATTAGAAGGGGTGTGGTTAGTAGGTCGAGAGAGGTTCTCCTCCCCCTCTACTCTGCCCTGGTGAGGCCACATCTGGAATATTGTGTCCAGTTCTGGGCCCCACAGTTCAAGAAGGACAGGGAACTGCTTGAGAGAGTCCAGCACAGAGCCACCAAGATGATTAAGGGAGTGGAGCATCTCCCTTATGAGGAAAGGCTGAGGGAGATGGGTCTCTTTAGCTTGGAGGAGACTGAGGGGAGACCTAATTGATGTTCATAAATATGTTAAGGGTGAATGTCAGGAGGATGGAGCCAGGCTCTTCTCGGTGATGTCCAATGGTAGGACAAGGGGCAATGGGTGTGAGCTGGAACACAGGAGGTTCTGCTTAAACTTCAGAAGAAACTTCTTTACAGTGAGGGTGACAGAGCCCGGGAACAGGCTGCCCAGGGCGGTTGTGGAGTCTCCTTCTCTGGAGACATTCAAGACCCGCCTGGACGCCTTTCTATGTGATCTCATTTAGGTTCCTGCTCTGGCAGGGAGATTGGACTAGACGATCTTTTGAGGTCCCTTCCAATCCCTGACATTCTGTGATTCCTCTGAAAGGTTTTTTGTGGAGGAAATGCAGAATGGCACCTTCACTACCTTTTTCTGTGATGTTTTCTCCCTCATCACAATAACTTCTCAGTATCTTGAACATCCTTGGGTAGTTAAAATACTTCTATTTGTATTTCTTTGGAATATTGCTTTGGTTTTGTCTAAGGATTTTTCTAAGCAATTTAGGAATACAATCCAGGCTCTGTGAGCGTATGGTCATGGGTGGCATGGCATGTGGAAGAATATGGGAAGGTATCTAGAGAACTTCTCACCTCCAGTGGTATGGAACTTCACTCTAAAACAACTACAGGATCCTGATGTAGTTAGAATAGATAGAATGTTTGAAAAAAAAACCCCACCCAACCCACTATGGCTATTCCAAAGAGGCACAACTTACTGCACTGTGCTGGGCCCTGGCCAGCATCTACCAAACACTGCTTGATATTAGGGAGAACCCTCAGGAAAAGGAGAGGGAAAACAAACCAACAGACACTATGGCTAAACCAAACACTGTATCAGTCGCCCCTATAACTAAAAAGAAACAATGGAAGCAGAAGTCAGCTCATTTAGTGAGGGATGAAGAAGCTTCTCCTAAGAGGGAGCAGGAGAAAGAATCAGAAGAGGCAATCTGTTCTGCAACAGAGAAGTCACAAAAAGAGGAGGAGGAAGAGATTGAAATAATTAATGAGACAGAAACCACCCAAACCTTATCCCTAAGTGAGATGTGAGATTTGCAGAAAGATTTTAGCCATCAACCAGGTAAGCTAATTCTCAGCTGATTACTCTGATGCTGGGATACTGGGGCCAGGAATTAGAGAGTGAGGAAGCTCAGCAGCTAGGATCCCTTGCTAAGAATGCTGCCATTGACAAAGAGATTGGCAAAAAGGTAGGAGTTCTCAATCTTTGGTGGTGACTCCTGTCAAGTGTGAAGAACAGGTACCCCTCCAAGAAAGAACTTGCAAATTCACAAAAAAAATGGACCAACATTGAGGGAGGTATCCAGTATCTGAGGGAATTAGCCATGTTTGAGGTGATCTGTAACAACCTGGATGACACCCAGGCATCCAAAGACCCAGATGAAATCTGGTGCACACAGTCCGTACAAAATGCACCGATGTCATACACCCACAGCCTGGCAATAATGAGCTGGACAGACATGAAGGCACCAACTATAGATGAACTGTCCAGACAGCTCCAAGAATACAAAGATAATTTCGCTTCCTCCATGTGGGCCTGTGTCTCAGCTGTGGACAGATTGACCCAAAAAATGTCTGAGCAAGCCAAGAAATGTGGGTCTTCCTCATGCCCTCCAACCAAGGCCTCAGCTATTGAGTCAGCCTTTCTCTGTTCAAGGGAAAGGGCACTGATGGCCCACACCACGTGCAACTCTGTGGTTCTTCCTGCGTGACCAGGGTCGGAACGTTAGGAAGTGAGATGGTGAACCTACTTGGAGACTAGAAGCTTCAGGACAGGAACTGCAAGGAGAAACAACAGCCAAAAAGCATCCATCTGGGAAAATCACTGTTCCAGTGTCTGTTGGGCAGAGTAGAAGGGCTGATCATATTTTTGACCCTGATGAAGGGAATTCTGTTTTGCAGTTACAAAAATCAAGCAATGAAAACTTAATGGAGGGGTATCCAGTACACCTGGAATCAACTGCCCCAGGGATGGAAACACAGTCCTACCATTTGTCATGGATTCATACAGACTGCACTGGAACAAGGTGAAGCTCTTGAGCACGTGCAATATATTGATGACATCATTGTGTCGGGCAACACAGTGGAGGAAGTGTTTGAGAAGGGGAGAAGAATAATCCAGATTCTTTTGAAAGCTTGTTTTGCTATAAAACAAAGTAAAGTCAAAGGATGTGCACAAGAAATCTAGTTTTTAGGAACAAAATAGCAAGATGGGTGTTGTCATATCCCAATGGACACGATCAATGAAATAACAGCTATGCCTCCACCAACTAACAAAAAAGAAATACGAGCTTTCTTAGGTGTTGTGGGTTTTTGGAGAATGCGTATTTCAGATAATAACCTAATTGCAAGTCCTCTCTGTTGAGTGACCTAGAAAAAGAACAACTTTGAATGGGACCTTGAGCAGCAGCAAACCTTTGAACAAATTAAACAGGAGATAGTTCATGCAGTAGCACTTGGGCCAGTCTGGGCGGGATAAGATGTGAAAAATGGGCTTTACACCTCAGCCAGGGATAATGGCTCCATCTGGAGCCTCTGGCAGAAAGCACCTGGAGACACTCAAGGTGAACCTCTAGGGTTTTGGAGCCAGGGATATAGGGGATCTGAAGCCTGATACACTCCAACTGAAAAAAGAAATATTAGCAGCGTATGAAGGAATTCAAGCCACATCAGAAGTAGTTGGTACTGAAGCATGGCTCCTTTGGCCTGTGCTCAGCTGGATGTTCAAAGAGGTGGTCCCCTCTATGCATCATGCAACTGATGCTACATGGAGTAAGTGGGCCACATTGATTACACAATGGGCTCGGATGGGAAGCCCCGACCTCCCGGGAATCCTGGAAGTGATCATGGACTGGCCAGAGGGCCAAAACTTCAGAGTGTCGCCCAAGGAGGTGACTTGTGCTGAAGAGGCCCCTCTGTAAAATAAATTAGCAGAAAATGAAAAGCAATAATCCCTGTTCACAGATGGATCCTGTCGCATTGTGGGAAAACATCGAAGGTGGAAAGCTGCTGTGAGGAGTCCTACACAAGTTGCAGAAACTGCTGAAGGGCAACATGAATTGAGCCAGTTTGCAGAGGTGAAAGCCATCCAGCTGGCTTTAGATATCGCTGAACAAGAAAAATGGCCAGTACTTCATTTCTGTACTGACTCATGGATGGTGGCAAATGCTCTATGGGGGTGGCTACAGCAATGAAAGCAGACCAACTGGCAGCACAGAGGCAAACCAATCTGGGCTGCTGAATTATGGCAAGATATTGCTGCTCAGGTAGAGAACCTGATTGTAAAAGTATGTTATGTAGGTGCTCACATACCCAAGAGTCACACCACTGAAAAACATTGAAACAATGAGCAGGTGTCCAGGCTCCTAGAATTGAAGTGGCTCCAGTAGATCTGGACTGGGAACCTAAGGGTAAGCTATTTATAGCATGATGGGCCCATAATACATCAGGACATTTAGGAAGGGATGCAACATACAAATGAGCTCGTGATTGAGAGGTGGATTTAACTATTGATGCCATTGCACAGGTTATCCATGAATGTCAAATGTGTGCCTTAATCAAACAAGCTAAGCAGCTAGAACTATTTTTGGTATAGAGGATGATGGCTGAAATACAGGGAAGCCTGGTAGATTGATTATATCACACTACCATGAACCCACCATGGCAAAAACCATGTGCTTATAATGGTGGAAGTGATCACTGGATGGTTGGAAACATACCCTGTGACCCACGACCCATGCCACTGCCCAGAATACTACCTTGGGCCCTGAAAAGAAAGATTTATGGCAACGTGGCAGCCCTGAAATAACTGAATCAGACACCAGGACTCCTTTCTGAAACAACCTCATAAACACCTGGGCCAAGGAGCATGGCATTGACTGGGTGCATCACATCCCCTATCATGCACCAGCCTCCAGGAAAACTGAACAATACAACAGACTGTTAAAAGCTACACTGAGAGCAACGGGTGCTGGGACATTCAAGCATTGGGATGCACATTTAGCAGAAGCCACTTGGCTAGTTAACACTAGAGGATCTGCCAATCAACCTGGCCCTGCGCAGTCAAAACCCTGTGCACTGTGGAAGGAGGTAAGATCCCCATAGTACACATAAGGAACTTGTTGGGAAAAACAGTCTGGGTTATTCCTTCTTCAGGAAAGGGTAAACCTATTCATGGGGCTGTTTTTGCTCAAGGATCTGGGTGCATGATAGTTACCTTGGCTGCAGAGAAGGCCAGCACACCAAAGCACAGCCAGAAACGTAGGGTACGCGTGTCCGCAGTTCTGGCTAGAAAGGAATTTATCAGAGAGAAATCAGAACACTGGGAAATAGAAACAAAATCAACATGTTTCACCAGAAAAGGACGGTGAGGTGTGAATTTGGGCTGTGCTAATGCCACTGCGGGTGGGCTTGTACCACAGACCAATGGGAGGTCCCCAACCTGCCTGTGGCAGGCAGCTGCTGGGGGGGGGGTGGCACGTCTGTGCCCCAACGCAACAGCTGCCTCGCCCCCAGGTCTGCTTCCCTGTTTCCTCACCCAGATAATGGATGCCTTTGTCCTGCCTGATGAGGAAAGCAAACTGCTCCAGCACATGCCCAGCACCCGTGAAAGCCACTTTCCTCCTCTAACCTGTTTGATCGTGGCATGTGTATAATAGATGCTGTGTGCTTTATTGGCTTGAAAAATCCTTGTAATCAAGTCCTATTAATCAAGTTATTAGCATTGAAGACTGCACAGAACCAACAAAAGGAGAACTGCACCACAAATAGGAGTGTCTCACAGAGTTAATGTGTGTGTTTGCAGGAGAACAGGAATTATTTCCAGCTGCCTCCTTCAGCCGGGAATGCTTTCCAAGGGGGAAGCACTCTGCCCTTGGCAGAGGTTGCACACTTATGAAGGGCAGCACTTGGATGTCCCATCCAGTTTCAAGCATGTTGTCAGTATTTCATGAGTGATAAAAAATATTCTATGTTCTTTCCTCTGCTGAGCTGGAATTAATTTTCCCCTCTGCTCTCTCTGAAGGGATGTCAAAGAGAAGAGGTATAGATGTGGTGGAGAAGCAGAGAGCCACAAACCGAGGGAGCTGCTGGGGACTGAGGGTTTGTATGAGCTCTGCCATTGACCTTCTCTTCAGCAAGTCAGCATCTCTCCACCAGCTCTTTCTTTTTGAGCTGCACTGCCCTTGGGACACCAACTGTGCTTGTATCACGCTTCCAGTATTAGCTACTGCTGGGGGAACTGCTTCCCAAATGAAAGGACATAAATACAGCACATGGTGTCCAGAAGGGAGCTGGGTTCACCAGCACACATACTGGAGAACCACGGGTCTGAACACTGCCGCAATGCACACAGCAAGGGATTGCAGACAAAACCTTCATCTGAGGGCATTTGGAACCCACCTCTGGACCCAGAAAGGGTTTGGACTGAACCCTAATGAAGAGGCAGATGAACCCTGATCTGCCCCCACTGGCTCCTCAGGGCTTGCCTACTCACTTGGCAATGTAGACACGGTCGAAGGCAGAGGATCCCGGCCGCTGGAAGCCCTTGCCGTTGCAGTGTTTGCTTTCATGCTCCACTTTGCTAGCAAAAAAACCTGTTAAAAAAACACAAAGTATTCGATCTGAGATGTATTTTGTAGATATTGCAGAAGCTGGGCTTTGTGGGTTCAGCTCTGTTCTCATGAGCATCCAGGCTGGACAGCAGGAGAGGACGTGGGTGTGTGGAGGTGCAGGATGTGGCCAGCATGCTTGCTCTGTCACCAAGGTACAACCAAACCCTCTGTGCAAGGGCACAGTGCGATGTGACCTCAGACATCCTCACATGTTCATAAGTGACTGGCAGCAGGTTCTCACCTCTGAGCCCTGCTTCATCCCCGCAATGCACTTCTGGCAGCCCACACCTCCGTCTGCTGCAGAAGTACAGCCCAGACTCCATCCTTTGTGCCCTCACTAGGATAAAGCTTTCCAGCCAGAGCTACCAAACCCAATTCTGACTCTCTATTAGGGCAGAGAGACAAGGGAGTCTCTTCTTTTTTAGTGATACTCTTGCCACACCAGGGACATCCTGCCGGGCTGGTTCATTTTCCAGAAAGTCCCACTGAAAACCTGGTCCTGATGGCCGATCTCTATGCGCCCATATTGTGTGTATCCTCCTTTTAAGCAACAATGTTGTGTCAGGGTGTGAGCCACTGCAAAAACGCAGCACCTCAAGATAATGTATCATGCGCTTGACAAACACATTTTATCTGATGACACTAAACCAGAGACCATCAATCATGTGTCTAAATATACCAGGCAGAGCCCTGGCAGGCTACAAGCTGCAAGCTTTCTATTATCGTGCAACCCATCTCAGTGTGTCCAAATCACTCTAAGATATAGAATATTAGCAAAAAATATATAGAAAAGATAACCCATCAGGAAATATATTATTATAACAATAGAAGTGTGACTTGATAAGCTGCAGAGTATCATCCTGGAATCTGAAGAGTTACCTTTTTTTTTCCTTCCCTGATGCTGTAAGTAGATCTCTTGTACTCCCATTGCCTTCACTAAAAGCTCCTGAGTTTTTGCCTCCCAGTATCGAGCGATTCCCTGGGTACATGCGGCCTTTCTTCAGAAAAAACCCGCAGTGCTTTAAGCCAGCACCCCCACTCTGAGCCAGGCTGCAGACCCTCCCACTGCCACCAGTGTGGTGCACTGGCTGGATCATGGAGGACCTGGCCCTGGAAGACACAGAGCAGACACCGGCCAGTGGCACAGCCACCAAGAGCTCTCAGCATCTCCATCCACCCACCACCCCAGCCTTTGGCATGGCGTTATTAACCTGCTGACAGGGTCTAAGAAGACCTAGTTGAATAGGACTAGGTTGGATGGCATTTTTTTTGTCCAGTGCAAAATCGCAGTGATAGGTAACCACTTTCTGCAGGTCTGGGACTGCACTGGGATGTGTAGCATACCTTTTCCCTTCCTTTTAGCATGTATGTGAAATCACTAGAAGATGCCACATCTTCAGAGAAAGCCAAGAGTAAGCTATATATATATCTCCCTCTCTGCTGATGCAGGTGCTGCCACTTTCCAAATGCCAGCATGCTGCTGCAGAGAGGGTCTGTGATGCCAAGAGCCATCAGGCTGAACACAGACACGTCCAACGTGGCAGTGGTCACCAAGAACAAGAGCTTGGAAGTGTCAGTGGTGACACTCCTGGTGCACAGCCTTTGGGATCAGGGCTGGGCAGGCCTGAGGGTGCCAGGTCTCCTGGGGAGGATCTGGCTATGGAGGTCCAGGCATCTGTCCTGGAAGCTCTTGCTGCCTCTCTCATGGTGTATGGATCCTTGGGCAAAGGACTGGGCAGTGGGGCAAAGGACAGAGGTAGGGTATTCCTGTACATCTGCACCATGGATGAGGAGCAGCCTTTGTCTCATCTCACTTCAGAGACATTGAGGAGTGTTGGGGAGATGGGTGTTTTCCTTCTGTAAACAGTGGGTGACAGATGGAAACAGAAGAAAGGCACCTCAAGAGGTCAATCCATCCCTCAGAGAACTACCAGCGTGACACAAACCACCCGACTAAAGTGCTGATCTTTGTCCATTGACTCAAGAAAGAGCTTAGACAACCATCTCACATGAGGAGTCCACCTCAGCTAGCAAAAATTCCTGGGTCAATTATCTCCAACACACCACAGCGGCTGTATTTTCTCAGGACCATGTGGACCTCCACAAGGTGAGGCCAGTGAACTGGAGAGGAACCCAGCATCTCACCATTATACAGAGAGGCAGAGCCTCCTGCTTCAAGTGAGCTTGTCATCCTGGAAGTGGCTCCCTGGTTCTGTGGCTCCTTAGCCCTGTCAACCTCACAGGCCCTTCAGGCTCCCAATATCTTCCCAGAAGGCAGCCCAAGAGGTGGGTCCTGGCTGCCTGAGGCTCAGCCAGCCTGAAGCTCTTCAAAGGAGAAGAGCAGAGCTGACAGATGGCATTTGGGAATGGCACTTCTGCAGGTCTGCCCTCCCCTCTCAGCAGCGTTGGGCTCCTGTTAACCTGGCATTGGGGAAATTGGAGACTACAGCGTGAAGCAGCTTGCAACACCATGGTTATATTTCCTGCTCTTTACTCTGAATCTTGAGGCAAGAGGATGGTTTCACAAGCCGGCATGAGATGAGTGAGCGGAGCAGGGCTGGAGCTTAGGGGTTTAATTCAGCTCAGATGCACCTGGAGATGATGCCCTAAGGCTCCAGAGCTGCACAGGCTATCCTGAGCTGGAACCACTGCAAACCCATTCTGGTCAGGTTAATGTGCAAGAGTTCAATCCCAACCTGGTTGTTTCACAAGTTCATGCCGACAGAAACCGTGCGCTGATTCTCCAACCTAGTGAGTGCTGGAAAACATGCAGGTTGCCTCTTCTTTCCTTTGACTTTGCTTTGCTTCCTCCACCCCAGTCTGCTCTGCAATGACCACTGATTTGTCCTGAAAGCTGCTGAGTTGCAACTTGTCTCTGATGCAAGAACAAAACTAAAGCCACATGTGTGACTCACTGGCATCCGGCCACATGAGTCGTTCTGTAGAATATGGAGATTCCCAACATGAAGAAGGTGACTGTAAATGGACGTCAGACTAGGACAGTACCACAGCCCACCTCCAGCTTCGAGAATAACAGCATTCACTCAAACTGTTTCCTAATCCTGCACCAGATGCAGATAAGCATATAAACCCTAATTTACATGGCACTGACTTCATGTACTTAAAGACAGTCAAGCAGATGCCCAAGTGCTTTGCTGAACTAGAGCCACAGCAGAAGTTTAGTACCACTGATATCCCTGACAAGCGTTTCTACTGCCTTAATTATTGCATTTGTGGCAGGCTTGCAGATCAATGCAGTCTTTCTAGACAGAAAGCCTGGGAGGAGGAAATCAGATGATGCAAGGTCTGAAATCATGGTTCAGAGCTGTGTGCCACTTGTGGTTGGCGCATCAAGTCCTCTGCCAAGTGTCACACTGCCCATTTGCAGCAGTTGGGTCAATAATCTCACAGACGTATCTCCATGAGAGGAAAGTGTGTGTCAGGCTGGAAGGCAAATGCCTGAGTTTCATAAGGAGAGGAAGAAATGCTGTATATGAAGTCATTTGGTTAAATAGCAAGAAATGTATATTTGATACTTTTTAAAATTGTGGTATGTGCTGTGATCTCAGCGTGCCATATTCTGATGATGTCACATGCTGTGCATTTACCAGAAAGCAGCACTGGGTTAAACAATGTGGCATTTAGTGCCCATGGTGAAACTAAACAAGTCTGCAACTTTTCTTTTTTTTTTTTTTTTGCTCTCTGGCAGCCAGGCTTTGCTGAGGCTCCCACCACTTCCCCTGTCTGCAGCAGCCCAAGAACAGCCCATTTCCTAGGAACGAACGTGGGGTTTGCACTCAGTGGGAATCTCCCATTCACGCCAAGAATTCTAGCGTTTGCATCAGCCCCCCATCCCACTGCAAATTCTCCTTGAACCTGGGTGATCTCAGTGCAGCTGGGGCAAAACTCACTCCCTTCTCTGTATTCTGGGCAGAATGTCCATCTAAAATTATTAATTATTTGTGAGAGTTTATGATCAAGTTAAAATCAGATTTGCATAAGAGAGAAACTTGTTTTATTTTAAAAATCCTGAAGAATATTGGGGACTACAGAGGTCTGAATAAGAGCCTGGAAAAGGAAACTTCTCCATTGCAGGAAATGCGCAGTGTTCTTGGCACCACAGTAAATTGAGATTGGACTGTAGGTCCTGGAGATGCAGGAAAGCAGGAGAGCTGCCTGCCCACAAATAACCCAAACAGACTCCTCCAATGAGCTGGTGCAGTTCTGCTCCTTTTGCCCAGCTCCATGCGAAGATCTGAGCCATCGCAGCCCCCCAGCCCATGGCGGCAGGGCTCCAGCTGGAGAGCAGCCCTGGCTGCCTTCCTTTAGCCGTGAAAGGAGTTCTCAGTCATCAAATCAAAATGCATATTGTCACAGGGTACCCCAGCATATTAGTCCTTCATTAGCTGACATATGTATGACAAACTTACTCTAGAATATCATGAAGTAGGACCATGCAACTGTCAAGATACTGCAACAATGGCATGCAAAATTACATGCTTAGAAGATAATTTCTAAAGCCAAAGTCATGCCTAAGCACACACATGCTTATAATCAGAGACTATCTATCCAAACATCAGATCAGTATATATCATCCTGAACTTTTTTCAGCTCCCTTTTAGCCCTTAAATAAATACTTATTTTTGTCTTACCGTTCTGGACAACGCTTATCAAGGTGACGATGGCAAGCAGGACAATGCTCCCCAGGGTTTCCTGGTCCATTTTGCAAATGGACTGTTGGGGTGGACGGTACAGCCTCAGCAGCAGCTCAGTCCTGCAAGCACAGAAGGAGGAAGTGAATGTCTTTCTTATCTTGAATCATGAAACACTTCCTATGGCTTCACAGGAGAGTGGCAGCACTCTTCGCTCGGGTGCCTGTCAGAGCAACACAGCCACAGGCTCCCTCACTCACTCATCACATACAGGCAAAGCCCAGAGAAACAAGACATTATGTGTCTGTGATCTTAGAGGATATATAATGTGGAAAGAGATTTATTGCCCTTCCTGCACAGGAGCAAAATAGCAATATCTAAAGTATGTCTGAGCATTTGGCTAGCTGTGTGGAAGAGCAGAAAGGCAGGAAGAGACCAGCCCAGCTATCATATCATTGCCTGCAAGTGCCCAACCAGCCCACAAGTAGCTGGGAGAAGAAATAATGTTGGCAAGTCTCAGTATCACTGCTGCTCTCAGATGTATGCCCTCCCTGGTCTCATCTCCATCAGCCTCGCCAGTGAGGAGATCCCAGGTCTCCAGGTCACAAGCAAAAGCTCCCGATCCATCTGATGTATTTGAACGGGCAGCACACAAATGCTGTGATCATCGCACAGAAATACATCTTTCCTTACCAGGGATGCATCCTGCATCCTTCCCCCTTGTCGTGGTTTAGCCTCAACAAATTACTCCCTGGAAGACAGTGACAGCTGCCAGCATTCAGCATTTTACAGGCTCAGACTTCACAGTTGTACCCCAGTGTTAGTATTCTGAAGCCCAGTACAGCTGAACATAATTGCTGCATCATGTTCACGCCTTGGCTTCAACCCCATGATGGAGATGGCAGGGAAGCACAGGCTGGGGTGTTGGATGGCTGCAGAAAGTCCCACAGCTACTGTCAGATCACTGGAAAGCATCCTCATCCAAAGTGCACATCACTTGCCAACTGTAACCGCTCTGCTTCCTTTTGCCCACATTCTGATGAGGAAAAACCTTATGAAAAATCCTTATCTTTAGTCGGGATCTAACACTAATAATAGTAACATTTTCACTGGACTGAGCCCTGGGCAACTTTTGCCCTATCTGTCTGAACTCCACCACACGCTATCCAGAAGGCTTAAGTGTGTCCTGGTTTTGCTAGGATAGAGTTAATTTTCTTCTTAGTAGCTGGAATAGTGCTGTGTTTTGGTTTCAGTGTGGGATTTGTTATAAGAAGAATGTCGATAACTTACTAATGTTTTTAGTTTCTGCTGGAAGTCCAAGGACTTGGTATTTTGCTAGTCTGCAGGTGCAAAGGACTGGGGTAGGGGGGAGCACAGTCATTAGCAAAACCCAAAATTGGCATTTGGAGATGCCGATGAGATATTCCATGTCCTATCACATCATGTTCAGTGTATTAACTAACAAAGGTTGACTGGAAAGCTGGGTATTCTCTTGGGGATCACTCAAGCTCACTCTTCCAGGATTGCAGTTTTGGTTTCGGGACTGTCTGGGCTCTGGGATCACTGACTGTCACAGGCTGGGCATCAGTCAGCGGGTGGTGAGCAACTGCACTGTGCATCACTCATTTGCATATTCTGTTACTGCTGTTATCATTATTATTTTAAGTTTTATTTTATTTCAATCATTAAATTCTTTTTATCTCAGCCCACAAGTCTCCTTACTCTTACCCCTCCAATTCTCTCCCCTATTCCCTGGCTGGGGGAGAGTGTGTGAGCAGATGTGTTTGACTGCTAAAAAAGTGAAACCACCACAGCGTGCTGCCCAGCATCCAAACCATGGCTGGGTAACTGGTTAACTCTCTCTGAGTGGGACACAGCCTGGTAGGACTTCCCAGCAGATGCCAAGCTGCAAAAGCCATCTTGTTCAATAGAGAAACATTTACCTACAAAGGTGCTTTTATCTATTCTCTCTATTATGCAAATTATTATAATCTGTACTATCAGATATGGAAAACTCTCAGGTACTTTGGGTACAAGCAAATATAGAGAAACACGCTGGCTGAGAGGTAGGTAATTAACATCGGGAGTTGTGACCTCTCATTAACTTAATAGAAAGCAGCTGTCTTTCCAGGATACTTTCCCTGCAGTCCATGCAGACACAACTGTGTGAGCAGTGAGGCCATAAATAGCATCTAGGTTGAGATCTCACCTTTTATTAGGCCAAAAGTTTTTATTAGGACTAAAGTTCTCTTTTTCCCCACAAAATGGCTTTTTCTTACTTGAGCAGCAAGTTCATGTTTTGTGGCCCACTGAGCACAGGATCACAGCTGGTATTTAAGGATGGTATTTCACAGAATCACAGAATGTCAGGGAT